TGTGTGTGTGTGTGTGTGTGTGTGTGTGTGTGTGTCCCACTGCTTGGATTATAATTTAATTACTTGCCATTTTTTCCCTCTTTCCAGCAGTACACCAGTGATAGACATAAAGCTACATTAGGTCACACACAAGAAGGCCTATCTTTTTGAGATTCATTTATCATACGATTATCATATCAACAGATCTCTGTTATCTCGAGAACTAAGTTCACAACAAAACTACAACCTAGCAATTAGTCACAGTACCATGTAATCCCAGTCATCAGATACACGGTGTCAAGTATGTGATGTCATTCTGTTACTAAACCAATGACAGTTTTATTAACAAGCTCCTCTATACTGCACTTTTGAATTGGGATTAACAGACAACTCAAATTTTTAAAATGTGCCTGCATTAATGCAGGTTTATGGTGCTTGTGCAATATGATCTTAGAAGAAAACAGAAGACAGGATGAAGGTCAAATGTGAAAGAAGAAGAGAAGCAGCTGAAACGAGTATCTCCTCCTCAGTGCATTTTAATTTTCAGGTTGTCCCCTGCTTTTATTTCCTTCATCTGCCTATTAACAAAATGCATAGTGATTTTGATTTTTCGTTTTTTTTTTTCTTCAACTGTGGGATTAGGTGAGCTGCTGGCAAGGAGAGAAGATGATGGCTAATTTACAGTTAAATGAGCTTGTGTAATAATAAGAGTGGCTACATGCTCTAGCGAGGAGTGAGACACCAAAGGCAGGTGGCAGACTGAACAGAAAGCAGAACATTATGATGCTCCATAATGGGCTGCACCTGCTTTGATGATTTTGCACTGGGGCGAAGTGGTCAGTGGGTGAGTGGGTGACTCACAGACACTGACTTGTTACAGCAGTGACTCATATCAACTAAAAGTCTATCGCTGAACAAAACCAAAACCATGCCCCTACCTCTCTAACTATTAGACTCCATTTTCAGATTGGATAGATTCCTTTGAAACGTTGATGAATTGCTAGGCCACAGTCTATCCCTCTAAAGAATGCACGCATTGCTACGTGTGTCTATCAGAGTGCGAACAGCAAATTTCAC